TGCTTTTGACATCTTTGTTAAATATTAGATGGTTGTAATTGTGCATACTCACATTTTGATCTTCAAATTTGTTCCAGTGGTCTACATACAAGTTTTTGTGTGTGCAAATACCGTAAGTTTTTAAAATCACTATCACTCTGTAAATTATCTTGTGGTCAAGAATGGTAATCTCTCCAGTATTATTCTTTTTTCTCAGGATTGCTTTGGCTATCTTGGATCTTTCGTGGACCACCATGACACAGTATCCCCAAGGGTACAATAGTGGTACACATACCTTAGCAGTAACCTACAACTCTCCAGTTGTACTTAAAGACCACTCAACAGGTTGGAAATTGTGCCTTTTTACTGTAAACCTAGCCAATTATCTAGGGATAATCAAGTTATAGATCTTGGAGAACTCACCACCACTTACTAAACCAGTGTAATTCCTAACTACAGTCTAAATCTTTTACCCACAGGTAAGTATAGGTTTCACTCCTCATCAAATAAATGTCTCCTTCAACAACAAAGACTGTTACAGAAAATAACATTACAGAAAAACATAACTGATCAAAATGCAGAGATCAAGTGACTGTGGGTGCCAAGCCAGAATTAGTATATCTACAACATGACACCTATATCTACGGCTGAAGGGTCATTACTAGAAATGAGTCAGAAAGATTGTAATAGGCAAAGGAAGAAGTTTTCTGTGAAATTTAGTCTCCTACAAATATCAGAGAAGCTATCTCCATAAAGTCTCATTCATCAGCATGGCTGTCTATAAAAGACCTCAACAAGGATAACACCAATAGTCCTGTTAATATGGAAAGGGAAAGCTTATGGGAACTTAATCATAGACAAAGAATTCCAAGTACCTAAGGCATGCTGAAAGTGGGAGAAACAGCCCCCAAGTTGTTTTTTCAACACCAAGTGGTCAATCCTGAAAACATACACATAAGTGAAATTGTACAGACTGATCAAGTTGTGTTATTATATTTAGGAATTTGCATATGAATGCACATACACAAACACACATACAACAATAAAAAAATAGAGATCATGAATTTGAGAGAGAACAAGGGAGTATATACGGAAAGGGATGGAGGGAGGAAAAGGAAGGGGATAAATGTTCTAATTACATTTTAATCATCCCTCACATTTAAAGTGTAAGTATGTTTCAACCTGTTATAATTATTTTAACCTATATTGTCAGAAATTACTACAGTGGAAAATGAAACATTTTAACTTTTATAAAGTTTAATTTTTTCCCTTTCCTCAGTTCTTACATTAATTAATTCAATAATTAACTAAAGAGTTATGTGTGGAAGGGAGAGAAGGAGGCAAGCTCACTCCACAAATCATATGTGGATGTCAAAGGACAAATTACAGGAGTCAGGGCTCTCCTCCCACGTGGTGGTTTTAGGGACTGAATTCATGCGAGTCAGTCATTAGGACTCACAGAAAAGAGCTTTACCTGCTGAGCTATCTTGCTGGACCAAGTTCAGCTTTCTCTAAGACTTGTAGAAATGAGTTGAAATATTCCTTACTTTTTTTGCCCCTTTGATAAAATTATACACTGCTCTGGATACCAATTCCTCCTCCTCACTTCTTTCGAGTGGAGATCCCTTCTCTTCTGTAGAATCACCAGTACAAGGGATAGGCAATTCAGCTTTGGTCTGGGTCTGCCAGTCTTATAGTTTTAGAATACATACTTCCTAAGCTTGAATTACAAAAATGAGAGCTAGAAATTTATAACTTCAAGTGAACTTTTCCGGGCCAGTGCATTTATCTACCTACTCTGAGAAAAGTCTATTTTCATCAAGAACCTATAGGTCTATGAATCACTAGTCAACTTCCTTTACATGATATTGTGGTTAGCACCTACTTTCCAATATATGTGACTCTGGCAGGGCTCCAGGATGATTGGATTTTTCAGATTCACTTCTTATCTACATGTCATGTGCTTTTCAGAAAGGCTTTCAGATTTGTCCTACTTGTGGCCTGAAGTCCATGTTTGTTTCCAAGGATAGCTATGAATCTGGTTCAATACAAAATTTTAAGCTTACTTAAACATGAGATTTTCTTGCAAAGTTTTGTATAACTACATGGCGAAGATCTTAATATAAACTTTGAGATAACAACAGCTGTATCTCAATGTCACAAGGTTGAACACACCTGAAGGGTTTGTTTGTTACCAGGCACCTTTGATTATAGCCATCAATCAATGAACCACACCTGTAAGAGGCCATGTAACTTTTCCCCTAAACCCCCATTTGTGAACAGGAGCTTCAGCCCTTTCTCTGAGGTGTTCTGAAGAAGAGGGTGAGAAGGGATCTCTCTGAACTCGTGGCCTGAAAGCTGTGGACAATTTTATCAAACATAGAACTAGACCTACAGTTTCTCCTTGTTTAAGATTTTTTTCTTCTGTTGTAAAAGTATGGCCTCTACTCACCTCAAGAAACTGTATCTATAAACATCTATAAACCTTCCTTTTAGGGGCAACTCTGAGTTTATTTAGCTGAAGGTGATGTACAGTGCATGTCCACCATAGAGCTGTGTGGGTGGTTAGAGTTTGACTCTTAATTTATGCATCTCTGTGTGTGTTTCTGTGTCCTTGTCTCTGTGCATGTGTATTTCTGTCTCTCTGTCTGTCTCTGTCTCTCTCTCTCTGTGTGCTCTTCAGAGATAAAAATGTACCATTTACCATTAAATTGGATCACATTTATTTAGGGCTGGGATAGTCTTGAAGATGAAATCAAGAATTTACATGCTTAATGAATTTCTTGGGGTTTTCAAAGTTCTTATTTTTCCATTAGATAGAAACTTTAACAAATTTTTAAGTAGTTGTATCATATAATCCTTATGATTGGATACCTGCTGGAGCCATCTACAAATTAAGCAGATGAGTGACTGTCTATAAAATTTGCTTGTGGTTAATTTGGATATCCATGATAGTAACAAAACTAAGACATTCTATTTCCTTGGTGGCTATGAACAGGTAGTGATCACATGACTGTAACAGGGTAAGGGAGTCTAACAGTGGAGCCCAGTGTTCCAGTGTATAAACATGATGATGAGTCTGAGCTAGGAGCAGGGAACTGAGTTATGTGCTGGACCAGGCAGATGGGGAAGCTGAGATAGGAGCAGGGAATGGGGTCATATGCTAGACCAGACAGATGGGGAAGAAATGAGCAGCCAAAGCTTCTTGGAAGGGGAGGAGTCCTGACTGTGCTAATGACATCATGACTAAAGTCTATACTTCTTGATAGTTCTTTTGGGTTAATTAATTACCCACTCCTAGGATAATTAGAATTCAAAATTTTGGTTCTGTCATAGGGTTAGTGAAGGAAAAACTGATTTAAAAAAACTAATGAAAGCATGACACATAAAATTCTTCTCTGAGACCACTATACTGTTTATCTCTGAAGGCTGCTATGAAATTCAACTGGATAGCATGCATGCCTAGCAGACTGACTCATACCTGTTATACTATACTTCAGTAGTTTAAGTGAGCTAGCCTATATCACCAGGTTGTTTTGCATGAAAATTACAACTCCTGTGCATTGATAATTAAAGTGCCCACTTAAACAGGCAAGAATGCAAAAGTGCTACTGATAAGTAATTATAATAATTAAAAAGTTGCAGGCAAAAATAATATATTCAGTAACACATATATTAGTGAGAAATACAGTAGCCCCTTGGGAATGAAATAGAAAATTAAATTAAAGGATAGAAGTCTTTAATAAAAGAAAGTTCAAACAATCTCTTGGAAGATGTAGAAAAGAGGGTGAGAAATCTCATTAATGATCAAGTAAAACATTGTGGATTGTCACTGAATAAAATCATACTAATTTGCATCATAATAAGTAGAGTTGAGTTATTGGTTTTAAACTTTTTTCTCTGTAGCTACTGAATGATTCACACTTATCATATTAACATATTTTAAGGAAGTGGTTTTCAACCTTCCTAATACTGTGACCCTTTAACACAGTTCCTCATGTTGTGGTGACCTCCAACCATAAAATTATTTTCATTGCTGCTTCATAACTGTAATTTTGCTACTATTATAAATCATAATATAACTATCTGTTTTCTAAAGGTCTTATGTGACCCCTGTGAAAGGGTCATTTGACCCCCAAGAGTGTTGTGACTCACAAATTGAGAACTGCTGCATTAAAGGAAATGTCTTATTGATAAAATATTTCACAGCTGGTTAAAAATGTCTCCACTTGGCATGATAGTTGGAGCCCACTCTAATGCCAATCTCTAGGCATAAGAAATATGAGTTTGCTGAATTGTATGAAAACAAGAAAGTGGTAGTTTAAGAATAATGCTGTCCTAATTAGGGTTCTATTGCTGTGAAGAGTCACCATGACCATAGCAACTCTTATAAAGGAAAATGTTTAATTGGGGCTGGCTTACAGTTCAGTGGTTTAGTCCATTATCATCATAGTGGGAAGCATGGTGGCATTCAGGCAGACATGGTGCTGGAGAGGTAGCTAAGACTTCTACATCCAGAGCTACAGGCAGGAGGAAGATAGAGAACCACTGGGCCTGGCTTGAGTTTCTGCAACCTCAAAGCCCACCCTTTGTGACACACTTCCTCTGCCATACTTCCTAATAGTGCCATCCTCTATCGGCCTGTGGGGGCCAGTTTCATTCAAATCACCACAAATGGAGAGTGAAAAAGACAAAACCCCCACCTAGTGCTAGGAGGACTAAAACTGTGCTGTAAGGCATGCTACAGAAACACTCTGGAAGTGCTGTATAAGTGGATGGTGTATGTGCCTAGAGCCAATATAGGGCGGGTCTGGCTGACTCAGCTTGCTCTTGCCTTTCTTGGTCATATCTCTCAGTATTAACTGGAGAGTGCCTGGAGTGCCTCATCTTTTGATGAGGAGGTGCTATCTGGACTAACTTGGGTTCATTTGCATCCATCCTGGAAAGGATGGCCTTCAGTGTCTCTGAAACATTCATATAATATCAGGTATATAAAAGTCCAGATAAGGCAGTGCTGTAGTGGGTAGCCATTCCAGCTTTGATCTGGAAGTTCCAACCCCCATTGAGACTTCGGCAACTGTCACGCCTACAAGGCGGGGCGAAAGGAGGCGCCTGGGGACCTGAGATCTGGATCGGCGGGCTCTCTCTCTCTCTCTCTGTTGCGGGACCCTGGACTAGAGAGGTGTACCAAGCAGAGCTCCAGAGAACACCGCTGGACTGCGATACACCTTCCCCAGACTCCGTGACCTACCTATCCCTTAATTTGTAAGTTATGCCATTAAATAAATCTCCTTTTATCTACGTGGAGTGGCCTTAATAATTTCACCAATATCTGGCGCTCACGTGGGGCAAATTCCAAAGGCCTGGGTGGCTCCCGCCCTCAGCCTCTTCCCCGGCTAGCGGGTACCTAAACCCGCCTGCAAAGTTCCATATAACCAGGGAACGCCTACAGGGTTCCATTCCCTAAAGAGGGAGCAGCTAGTCCGGTCTCAGTTCCCTAGCTTAGCCCCGAGACCAGCGAAAGAGGCACTCCCCGGGTTCCCGAGTGCCGGCGCCAGCTTCGGCTCCCGCCATCTTGACTCCAGCGAGCTGCAGTCAGCCAAGATCACCAGCAGGCCCTGCTTTGGAGCTGTACCAACGCCACCTGCTGGCTGAAAAGTACTACTACACCCCCCAAAACCACGAAAGATAAGCAAAGGCACCTGATAATTTTACACCTTAAAATTGACTAACAAATTTTGAGTAATTCTTGTAATATGGCTGACAACATTACCTCACAAGAATTCGAAAACCTTTTTGCTTGTATGATGAATGACATCTTACTGGAAATATACGACCTTCCTAAGGCATATCTGGCCTGTACCATTTTGGCATTCATTGTAATAATCCACACAGTGTTCAAACACTGGTTTAATAACAAGAACAAAGATGAGTCATTATTGGGACTGATACAGGCTTTAAGCGAGAGCAATGAAGGCTTACAGAAAAAGATTCTATCTCTGGAATCTGCTTTAAGGGATAGCAATGAGACCTTAGAGAGAGCCCGCCGATCCAGATCTCAGGTCCCCAGGCGCCTCCTTTCGCCCCGCCTTGTAGGCGTGACAGTTGCCGAAGTCTCAATGGGGGTTGGAACTTCCAGATCAAAGCTGGAATGGCTACCCACTACACAGTGCTGCTGCCCCTTGGCTATAATGGGAAGAACATGTGCTGACTAGGATTCTATTGCCACAGTCAGCTTTCCTGAGCTTTGAGAAATGAGCTTGCCATACATTCTAGGCATCTCTCATCTTTCGATGCCTATCTGAGTGATAAAGTGGCTTCCCTTAACGTTTTCTGTGGGAGGTCAACCTCACCTGACTTGTTTAAGTGGTAGAAGTTACAAATTGGTAAGGGGTGCATAGTGAACATGCTTCATAGTCAGCAACTCCACTCAGGTTCATGCCCTGCAGCACCATGGTCATCTATTAGACAAAGAAGTACGCCCCAGAAGAATTCAAAGCTAATGGCACCTTGATCTTCAGCTAGTACTCTCCAAAAATGTGATAAAATGGATTCATGCTGTCTTAGCCACCTCCTCTTTTTATGAGACCAGGCTGACTAATATAAACACTAGAGAACATCGTCCAGTGGCTGTTGCCAGCAAACATTGGTTCTCCTTTCCCTGCCTGGAAAGTGACTGCTTCTTAAGGATAACCTGTAATTTAGAACTATCCTGAGGAAGGGTATTCAATGTCAGAGAGTATCAGGACAGATAACAGTCACACTGATTTGATGACAGGAAGTGTCATAGAACTGATCTAAGAATTTAAAAACTCTAGAATGTATCAATATTGAAAGTCTACAAGTTTAAAAATCCAAACCTATACGAAAAATCCAAGTATCTGGATTATGTTTATGCTTACATCTGATGTAGTGTGGACCCTAATTGTGACATTTCTAAAGGTAGACAATAAGCAGCCAGACAAGAGCAGGACTGTAGAAGCAGCTCTGACAGAGGCTGCTCTGGAAGGAAGCATTGTTTCTCAAGAGCATTCCTTGTAGGCTTTTAAGGGGCCCACAGGCAGAGTGGCTATACAGCTGCACTTGGGGAAATGTCCATGTTGCTAGTGATGTTCAACAATGTGGCACATGCAGTTGTGACAGCAGAAAAGTTGTTTAGGATGTGTACATGAACACATTATATGCATTTTATTAAACTTAATCAGAAATGTGTGGTGTGTGTACATATATACAAGCTCTATTAGAGTTCTCAGGTGAAATAGAGCCAATTTACACATATGTATCAAAAATTTTTTCACAAGGGGTTTGCACATACAAATAGACTGGGAAAGAGCAGGATATATCATGGTGAGTGAGAAGGCTGTAGATCCCCGTGGGCCAATGCTTAGATGAAACCGAAAGATGGTTTGCTGAGACTTTCTGTTATAGTAAAACCTTCAACTAATTGGTGTAGTCCATCCACATCATGAAGGAAAATCTGCTTTATTCTAGGTCTACTTATTCATATATCATCCTCAAACCACTTAAATTGACTCATACAATTAGCCACTACAACTCCCTAAATAGCCAGTAGTATAACTGATATTTAATTTATTTTTATAAAAATACTATACTATTCTTGGATAGGTAGGAACCAATATGTGTGCCCTCCACTTCCATGACCTTTAAAAACCAATCCCAATTTTGCTTCATTTTTTTCCATATTTTTCTAAGTATTGACAGCTCAGTCCCCTGCATAAGTGAAGTACAGCACAATGCGTTCCACTTATGAGGTTTACAGATCATAACCTTCATCAACTGTTTAAACTTGCTGGGTATTCTCTGATAAGAAAAGCCAAGCCTGTGGCATGTTGGAGATGAAGGCAATGTCTGTACACTGTAGAAATGCCTGCTGCAATCTCTTGCCACTGGAGCATGCGTTTCCTTTCTACTTCTGTTCAGTGATTGAGAGAAGCATTAGCCATTAGGGGATCTAGCTGCTGGATGAAAAGAAAACTGGCTCTCTAATGGGCTCAGGGATGACACAACTTTCTTCCTCTTTGTGCTCACTTCCTTCCCAAGGTGCCAGAATTTCTGCTCTGGTAGAGGCAACATAACTTTGGTTCTGCTAGTGAACAGTCTTGCCCATCTACAGTCACTCCCTTTTAGGAATGAATAAAATAGTGTGGAAAGCAGGGGCACATATTTCCCATTATGTCCTTATGAGATGGAGAGAAAAGAGGCTGAATGTGAATATAAATATGAGAAATTACATTTGATTGAACACTTGTGATCACAATATTACTTAGTAAGGCTTGCTGCACATGTATGATCTGCCATCAGGCCTTGTCCAGCTCCTGGTTCTCTGCCTAGGATTGGAAGAAGGTTAACCAGGAGGTTTCATGCCACTTAGATGGTGAAAGTAGTCTCATGGGTGAGATAACAGATTTGGAGAGGTGCCCTGAGAATTATGCATGGTTATGTGGTTACCATAGAAGCATGGAGGATGCAGCCACAGAGTAGGGTTAAATCATGACCATCTCTGGGCTTCCAAGGTGAGCAACTATGGACAGAGAATGAAACTGACTGGACTCAGGGAAAATTTGAAAAGTGGGGGAATCATGTGCTGACTTTACAGTTTACACTCCAGCTGCTTTTTCTTTTATTGTGTGGATTTTCCAACTAAGTGCCCTTTTTAACAGGTTTCAGAAGAGGATATTTATGTAAACAATAACCAACTGTGCTGTCCCCCAAAGAAATAAGTCAAGGCTGGTATTTGCATATTGCCATTGGGGTGACAAAGATGGTAACTGCTGGTGGTGATTCTGAATGATGAGAACAGGAGTGAACTGCAAAGTTTGAATCTCCATATCATTAGCACTGTTTTCCTCTAGTAAGCCTGCACCATTTCTGTAAATTCAGAAAAAAAGTTCCTCAAGTTTAAAGAGAAGTAATTGATGATCTTGTTTGACTTAGGATTTTTATTGCTGTGAAGAGACATGACCACGGCAACTCGTATAAATAAAAACTTTAATTGAGGTGGCTCACTTTCAGTTTCAGAGGTTTAGTCCATTATGATCAGGATGCGGAGCATGGCGGCATGCAGGCAGATGTGGAGCTGGAGCTGAGAGTCCTACATCTTGACTCAGAGGCAACAGGAAGTGAACTGACTGTCACATTGAGGGAAGCTTGAGTAAAAGAGACCTCAAAGCCTATCCCCACAGTAACACACTTCCTCCAACAAGGTCATACCTCCTAATAATGCCACTCCCTTGGAGGACCATTTTCTTTCAAACCACCACAATCTCATGCTGAATAAAATTGCTACTTCCTTCCTAAAAACACAAGAATCTGCCTGATGCCTACTCTGCTCATGTTTATATATCTTTAAGATGGGAAGGTGTTGCCAGCATATATAGTTTGTCAATTTATCCCCAGGTGATTGGTATAGTTATTTCAATTAACTTCACAAAATAGAAAAATATGCAGCCTTTTCAAATTATGTCAGGAACTAAAACGATTTATGATATTTTTAAGCAAATGCTATTATTTTTAGTTGATCAAATACGAACTCCTCCCCTTTTAACTGGAAAATCAAACTGTTATGTAACTCCAAGATCATCATTAGAATTTTCTTAGAATAATAGCAATGTTGCCTTTACTGAAAGCCATTTTGAAGCCAAATGAATGGATGCAGGGAAATTTTCCAGGGTTCTGTGACTTCTCATTTGGTTATCCTCTTCAATAATACTGATTTTTTTTTGCTTGGGTTCATAATCAAAATGCAAATGAATTTTACTCTCCTGAGGCCCGGGGATTAAAGGACGTGGGTAGACACTACCAGCACTTATAGTGTGCAGCTTTCTTGCTGGATGTGAATGGGTTGCAGACCCTACCCCTGTTCCCCTCACCACTTCATCCTCATACTGATCTAGGATCTGGTTTCACACATTTGCAGGGTTAAAATTCTTTGTGAATAAAATCAGGTAAACTTTTGTAGTTAAGTGTGGCTTCCTGAATGTTCCACTTGACATTCTGTATCCTCAGAGTTTTGGAGCAGGAGCTTCTACAGCAAATGTCGTTATTGCAGGAAGCTGATGGCACAGTGGCTATTGCAAGTTTCTCATAATAAGTCAGAAAGCCTGGTGCATAATGGTGAAAATCTCAACTTTCCATCTATAATAGACTTAATAATGCCCACTGAAAGATAAACCCTACTTTTAACCTCAGCCCTGGAAACTTAACCTTATTTGGAAAAGACGGTTTTCACAGATGGAAATTATGAA